AGGAAAACCAACCGCCGAAGACGGATCACTCTTCACCACGACAATGCAAGCTCTCACACATCGGCTCATAGAACTGCATTTTTGAGCACCAAAAACATCGATTTGATGAGACATCCCCCGTATAGTCCTCACTTGGCACCTAATGGCTTCTTTTTATTTCTGTACGTAAAAAACAAACTGAGAGGTCAACTTTTTCGACACTTGAAGAAGCGGCTGCTGCATTCAGAATGCATGTTTTGGAGATACCTCAATCAGAGAGGCAAAAGTGCTTCGACAATTGGTTCAGACGCATGCAAAAGTATATAGATCTTCATGGGGAATATTTTGAGAAACAATAAAGTGATTTTCGATGATTAATATTTGTTTTTGTTCTCTAATCCTGAAATATAAAAGACAACCCTCGTAGAACTAAAATTCACAGCAATGGATAAAGTGCCAATTTTTAGGAACTGTGAATTTAATTTACATTAAAACTAATAGCTATGGAAAGGACATTCAGGGAGGATAACAAAATGACCAATTTCAAAGAAAACAGGATAAACATGCAAAGACAGCACATTTCACCTGGGCTTGACAGCTCGCACTTCGACACGGAGACCGAACGGTGAAGAACCAACTTTACAAGCATGCCTCGCGACAGGGGCCCAACAATCAACAGCGGTTAACTTTGCAAAACGTTTAACTTTGAAGTGTTTACTTCACATTATGGTGACCAGAAAGTTCATTTATGAAAGTTGAAAAATTGCCTTTTGGCCACAGAATCGGGTCCCAGAAAGGACAGTGTGCCGGCGCGAGCGTGCAAGGGGGGAGGGCGGCGGCGGTGAAGTAACCAGCTCTTTGTCGTGGGGAGACATGGCGACACATCACCAAGTTTTGCGCGCGAAATTCACAATCTGACCCCATAATTCATTACTATTGCCATAAAGCGTCCAACTAGGCGGGAAATTAATAGATTATAGCCGTTGCCGAGAGAAATGTGTTAACACTCTCCAATTGTTTCTTTAACAGTTTTCCACTGATAGAAAAAGAGACGCTTTAAAGAATGGCGTATGTCACATTTTCGGTGAATTCGACGAATTTTCGAATCTTGCAGATTTAGAAATAAGGCGAGAAAGGTGTACCGTTGTAGCCCCACTAGTTTAAAGAATACTTTGAGTTATAACGTAAGAGGGGAACATTTCGGTATGTGGTTCATTCCAAGTAGTTTTCTCTGTGAAGGGATTTAGGGAATATAACTCAATAAATTGTGTACACTACATATTAAAACATGGGCTGAATGCTAGTATTCCCATTAAGACAAACATGTACAGCTCTAAATGTACGTGGTGCTACAATAAACGTACTTTCTCTCCTTACTTAATGGTTATGTAAACATACAATACCTCAATCTCTGACCATATTAAGACTTTTAGCCATCGCTTGTGAAATTGTCGTAGCGAATTAGCCGCGAAAAGAAGCTCAATTCAAAACACCGTTGCATTCTCCCAGAAACTTTTCCCAACTAAGAGAAATTATTTTGAGACTTTCAAACTGCCGTTTTGCGGCGTTCTTATTGTTCCAACGCTAACTTCTAATTTATTCTAGCAAACGAAGTGCGGGAAATTCGAAATGAGACCTACGCTATTTTTAAGAGCTAGTTACGCTGAGGACAAGGTTTAATAAAATAACGAAGTTCCATTTTTGAGGTTTAGAAAACGTCGAGGCTTCATGTAAATTACCCCCGAAATACAAAATATCCTGTCCCAACTCGCAGCGCCTCGCTTTTGATCAGATCTATTGGGAAATATCAATTCTGGAGAAAATCGACTGATAAGTTTAGGAGTTAGTGTCGACCACAGCCGGGTAGACGTTTTGCCGTTTTTCGGTATCAAGGATCAACAAAACATGTATTCTGACTTCACAATATTCTGAAAGCTATATTAAATAGCATGCACTTCCCACGAACTCCCAACTGTTCCTCGGTCTCTCTGAGTTCCCTTCTCCAGAGGACCAAAAAGTACAAATTAAGTGAAGAGCTTATTAGAACTTGTGCGATTAATTAACGAGGTAGTATGCAGATCACCTCTGGACGGGATCCTGAATGTCTCGAGGGCAATGACCACAGAGGTTTCAATGGCCACTGGCAGGCATTTGGCCTTGACCACTATGAAGTTGGGCTGCTTAAGGAATGACTAGTTGGTATTTTACATTTTCCTCCCTTGCTTTCAGAAGGCTAGGCCCAACCTCGTGGCGGACAACAAAGGACGTAATTTACTTGTGAAGATTGATTCCCCTTTCAGTGACCAGAGCTCGGTCATACGAGTTTTTCCCCCGTGGCATTGGCTGCCGCGCTCGGGCATTGCGAGGGTCGCACTGCAGAGCGCCAGCGTGCCACGACCCGCATGCAGCGAACTGCACTGCCCGGTGGATGCTTTTTATTAATTGCTTTTCATTGTTGTTCGTAGATAAGCTCGGCAGGAACAAATATTTTCATTTGAAATTTTGTCGTTAATTTGCAGGCAGAAACGGACTCTGAGAGGGAAGGGGTCTCATTATGTGTTAGTTCTGTTGAAAATGCTGTGGTTGCCATTCCTCCATTGAAGAACATGGGACTAGAAGGCTTGCAAAGTAAGTAAAATATTTTGGTTACATAATGGTCAAAGATTAGTATAAATGTATGACATTAAAACACAATACAACTCAAAATGTTTGTATATACCTTGGTCTTTATGTTTTTCTGTTCCTGTACAGATGGAACACAAACCTGTTCGTATTTTGAAATTACCTGAGTCTGTAACCGGGAAATAAACGCAAACTAGTGATCCTGCCAAAGCACATACTATCTCGTAATGTTTCTAAACGGCACGCAATATTATATTGATTTGAATATTAAATTGAACAATTGATTTTATGTGACATACGTTTTACAATGAAAACAGAGTTATAAACTTGTATAAAATTTCAAAATATGAAAATGACTTACACGTCCAGTTTATTTAAAATCTTAATAAATGGTATATGTGAGTAGAATTGCTTCAAATGATTTTCAATAAAGTTTATAAAATTCTCTAACGTTTTCTGCAGCAACAGAGAGTTGTTACAAATATTTATGCCCGAGCTAGTCTCGAACCAGCGGCCCTTCTCTCCGAAATGCTGAGTCCGAGCCCGATATTTAACCACTTCTCCACCCCGGGTTATACAGAGAATTGGCACTTCTGTAATAGTCATAAACGCCGAAAGATAATAATTGATTTGATGATACGTTTTACAAATCCAATAAGAGATGTGAAAAATTGTTTGCTCGAACAATTGAAAATTCGAAAATCATATAAATCATATATATATATACTTTCAGTTTACTTATCTTGATTAATAGTATTTGCGATTAGAGTTGCTTCAAATGGTTTCAATGAAGTTTCTAGAATTTCCCTCTTATTGTCTGCGGCAACAGAGAATTGTGACAAATAATATTCTCCGACCAAGACCCGAACCTGTGACATTCCCCTCCGAAGAGCTGAGCCGTAAACACCAATTAAACACCTCGGCCACCCGAGTACTATACAGTTTTTACACTTATATAATAGTAATCAGTAGTATAATATTATATAATAGTAATAAGTAGGGCCCGGATAATTATGTACTAAAAATTGGGAAAATATGTGCATATATATGTATTAAAATATACAGAAGTATGTACTAAAGTGTAAGAAATATGCATCATTTAATCAATTTTTTTTTATTACAATACGACTATGTTAGGGTATATTATTATATTTGACAATATAAAGATCAAAATTAAACATTACACTCTTCCTAAACCAATTATATACAAGGATTTCCAAAACAATAAGAAACAAATATCTTTTTCAAATTATTACCAACAAAACGTTTCCTAATATCTTGTAAGAGGACGTTTAACTGACTAAAAGAGCGTTGTACATCGTATGAGTCACTAGCTGGTTTTTAAACTTGCACAGATTCTCTGGCCAGTGGGGCGGAATTTTCCCCTCCTTGCATTGCACCAATAGCTCAAATTGTTTCGAATCCGAGGTTTTCTCCTGAACTGAAGACCTCTTTTTCTTCGCTAGATCCCCTACTGATCTTGGAATGATAAATGAACTGTTCTTAAAGAAGCTCCTGCTAATTGGGCAATTTCAAGGCTGTCGGAAAGTTTTAAGGATAACATCTCCAAAGATTTAATTGTAGTGCTTGCTGAAAAATGGAGTAATATAATTTTTCAACCTTTCACCATAGAACATAGCTTTTGTGTGCGTATGGACGTTGCAGCAATAGAATGAAAATAATAAAGTATAACTACGAGTAGTACGTTTGAAATCAATAATTTTCAGCACTGTAGCTCGTAGAGTCAATCCAGAGGACCCATCTTTTTTGTATTAGAAATCCATGCGTTATATTTATCAAGCTGAGTTCTGCTACTCAACGCATGCAAGTACAAGTTAGAAGTGGTAATGTTGGATACAACGCCTGCAGGGCTTCTGCCGTCTTGCACATGTACGGCGCTGCATTAGTACCGGAAGGAAGACGTTACTGTGTTTAACTCTTCAGGCCATAAAAAAGCCATTGTGTTGTTAACAGTTTTGCAAGTTAATAGTTTAATTGTTGCATGTGGGTAACAATTTGCAAGTTAATAAAAGAGACTTACCCTTTTCACCCCAAAAAATGTAGACATGATGTTCGTTTCCGAAACTTCTTGCTATGAAATTCTCAAAATAGTCGGTGAACTAAAAAATAAATATTCTGTCGGTTTAGATGAATTTCCGGATTGTTAAAGACTTGTGCGCCTGCTATTATACACCCGTTAACTCACATTTAATGCACCGGAACTTTTCCAGATGTTTTGAAAACAGCGAAGATTAAGCCGCTCTTCATAAAGGCAACACTGATGAAATTCAAATGTTATAGACCAATTTCCCTTTTGTCAGATTTTTAAAAAATATTAGAGAAACTTTTTTACGTACCAACGGAAACCTTTCTCAGTAATCACGGCGCGTTTTCAAGTTGCCAACATGGATTTCGAAAATAAAAATGTACGGAAACATCCATACTTGCCTTAGCTAAATTCTTCCCGTTCTATATTTGGAATGAATACATACGTCCATCTCCCCTTTTGCAAGCTGTCCCATGGTCTTTGCCACTGAATTACTTGTGGCTTGTCAAACGTGGCTTGATAAGCCTTCCTTTCCCTTGTTCTTTCCGCGCCGTTAGTAGAACCTGTGTCGTTCTGCCTCTAGGAATTCGATTGGAGGCATGCCTATCACTATACATTCTGCATCGGATGAGGCCGCGCGAGCCATCATAAGTAACCTTCTGTACCGATCTGCCTGTTCGACGCCGTATTTATTGCGGCTGCCAATACTGGAGCTGCGTATTGCAGGATCGATGTGGTTACATTTGACAACAGTCGTCTCCGCTCCTGTCTCCTTGAACATTCGACACTACTCTCGACAAGACCATTATCGCTTTTACCGCCTTATCGCTGACTTATGTAGGTGATCGCAAAACCTCTTGTCAATCGTAATTCCTAAGAACTTGAGATACGGACTCGAAAGGATGCGTTTGTCTTGTTGGATTATCTCACCTTCCTACTCGTGTCGAGGATTACCTCAGTTTTTTGGTCCACTAATTGCAAGCCAGCAGAGGTTAACCATCGGCGGACTAAGAATGGCTTCATTGGCGATTTCGCCACTTCCTCTATATGTTTAGCCGCTTTGATGAGTGCCATGTCGCCCGCAAAACCGACGTTCTCGGCGCCTTCCGGCAGCTCTATTTTGAGAACGCCGTCGTATTTTAATCTCTCATCATGGGACCTTGATATTGCTTGATTCTGTTCTCGAGTGCAACATGTGTCACTTTGTAATGTTTATTTTGTGTATTTTTGTTCCAGAAGTATCACCTGTTTGCCCCCACTGTCGGCAAGTTTTTCCTTCGCCATTTCATCTATTAGAACATGCGACAACCTGCACAATGTTGACTGCGCAACAGGCTTGTAAATCAAACTGCTGTTGTCCTCCAAGTGAAGATGCACCGTTACCTTTGAAATTTGATAGACATAGAAGAGAAATATACACCAAGCAATGCATTCATGGGGTTTGTAATTCAGATCTGAACAAACAAGAGGAAATTAAACAAGCAAAGTGTGTTCACAAAGATGAATTGCCATTTTCATGTGTAATATGTGCTCCAGCTGTGAAGTTGCCTCTAGATTTTCAAAAAGATTCTGAAACCGTTGGAAATGAGTCTACATTTGTATGTGAAAAGTGTGGGAAGTGCTGCAAATATTGTAAAAATATTACAAGTCAAAAAAATTCCCAAATCCATGAGCAACCATACCAATGTGATCATTGTGATGCCAATTTTAAACAGTGGGTAGGTTTAAAGAATCACCAATATGTTCACAATAGTGATAAGCCGTATGCATGTGACACGTGTGGGACAAGTTTCAAACAGTCTAGAGTTTTGGAAACTCATAAAAGGATTCATTCTAACGTGAAGCCATATGTATGTGATGTTTGTAATGCAGCATTCAAACAGTCATCACACTTGAAACAACACAAACGAATCCATACAAATGAAACTCCTTATGCTTGTGATATGTGTAGTGCGGCTTTCAAACAATCGGTCCACTTAAAACAACACAGACGTGTTCACACCAATGAAAAACCATATGTATGTGATGTGTGCCCATCAGCTTTCAAGCAGTCTGAACATCTAAAACAACATAAAAGAATTCACACAAATGAAACTCCATATGCGTGTGATATGTGCAGTGCAGCTTTCAAACAGTCTGTTCACCTGAAACAACACAGACGTATTCATACTAATGAAAAACCATATTCATGTGATCTTTGTGGTGCAGCTTTCAAACAGTCAGAACATTTAAAATTGCATAAACGAACCCACACAAACGAGAAACCATATGCATGCGACCTTTGTAGTGCAGCTTTCAAACAGTCAGCTCACTTAAAACAACATAAACGAACTCATGCTCCAGAAAAAGTGATGTCTCAAACATTTTGTCATTTGGAATCACACTAAAACCTTTGTCATGGGTAGTTACTATTGTGTAGGCTTCAATTTGTTTGGAAGTAGATTTTTTGGAAAGTGGAAATGTTTTGATGCTTCAGTGCTTTTTATGAATTAAAATTTTAATGTAGTAAAATAAAATTTCATTTCGATAGTTCTATGTTACTGGACAATGAAGGTAATGTAATGAGAATCTTTCTACAAGTATGGAAGAGTTTGCTAATAAAATGTGTATTTATTGTCTTTGAAGTTCGATGAATTGTGTTCTGGTTAGTCGTTGCTTTGGAATATCATTGCCATTATGGCAAGCTGTGAAGTTTCTTAATTCTGATAATGCAATCTCATGTAATCTTATTTACTTTTTAGTTTTCCTAATCAGTAACTGTCTTGTGCAGTTACCACAAATAACTAAGCTATTGAATTGTGTGAATTGGTTCCTTGCACATGTGGACTACGCGATTACGGTACCAGTAAAATACTGACACAGTTCCGGTATATCGCAATGTTTTAACAGCCTCTGATGCCATGGATTATATACGATACACCAGCGTCGTGTCCACCGCTACTTTTGGGCTGTAGAACCGCGATCTATTCGGTCTACTTGTCTCGTTTGCATCTACTCGTTTCGCAGTCACCGACCTTGACGACACGACACCTTCACTCAACCCCCGTCGCCAATTCCGGAGTATTTTGCGATTTTTTACAGCTGTCACAGTGTCATCCAATCGGGAGCTTACAAGTCACTACAGTATGGTTCTTTTACTACATTAAAATTTTAATTCATGAAAAACCAAACACACAATGGTGCCGTTCAACCTTTCGATTGGATGAGCTGATTTACATCGGACAACTCTAAATAAAGTATATGCGTCATCCCCGTTTACGGCCTAAACAATTACCCTGAAATGTGGAATGGAACACTGGACCTCTTACTTAATAAGTTCAGCAAAAGAGCTTCGGCCACCCTACGGACCGCTCTTAATGTCCGCCGCCACTCCACTGTAGGCGCTACTCTTGAATGAAGCCACTTCGTATTTTGTGAGGAAATCCTTGAAAACTGTTTCGGTGCAATGAAGGATATGCGTTACAAGAAAAACAATCATTTAGGGCCGGTTTCACCAACAGCCGAGTAAAGTTGAAAAGGTGAAAAAGAAATTTACAAGTCCTCAACAGTTTATAATGTACCTGATGATGTTAACACCTGATTTGGGCAGACAACCTCGTGACAAATTCTCGATAGCCATAATTGGAAAACCAATCCATTTTATCCCGCGCCTTTTGTCTTCGAGGGACGCTAGAGACTAATCCCGAATCATCGCTGGAGTCGCCTTCAAATACCATCATTCGTAATTATCCAGCCATAACAAAACGCCGGAGGTACACACATGTTGAAATCTGAGCTTACTTCGTACTTTATTCGACAGATTTTCGCCGTGTAAAGTTACTCTCGAATTTACTCTCGTGCAAGCGATTTACACTCGATTAAAGCTCTGACTGAAACGCTCCAAGAAGTCACTTTCGAGTAAACATGACTTACTCCTCTTATTCTTTGTTTGGTGAAACCGACCCTTGGAATATGACAGAAATTTAATCAAACAAAAAATTTGCCAAATGAACATTTTGTAGAGCTAAACTATTGTAAATTTATAGGTAAATTACAGCTGTCCAAAGCGCGGCTTCGCAAATAAAAATTGAAATTTCAGCTTCTCTGTACTTCAATACAGTCTTGCTTCAGTGGCTTCAAAAGCCAAGGTTCCAACCGTAGCTCGGTTTGAAACACGTCACCGCCCTTTTCCCTTTCGCCTTTCGGTGACGTTATCTCGGCGTCTCTGGTCTCGGGCAGCTGGGAAAAGGCCGTTAACCCAGACGTCCTGCAGACAATGACCCCGTGTTCGTCGACACCTCTGAGCGTTGAGCACGGGTATCGGAGTAATACATACGTTACGTCATTTGTTTTGCACCAGTTTATCAGTCTTTGACGAGTGCGACAGATCACGGCAGTTTTAGGACCGTTTTCTAATTAATATGCGCACGCAAGGAACTACTCGCAAGAGTTTACTGCGGCCGCGATTTTAAAGCATTCTGCGATCAATCATGTCTCAGAGATGCCCGAACACGACTTTTATGATTGGCAATCTTTAAAAAAATGAGGGCGCTCGAGCGCTATCTCTGCTTCCGGCGGCTCGACAAGGAAATTTGAGATCGATGTCCCCCAACAGATGCTATTAATGAAGTCTCCCCAGCGGAGACTACCAGCCAACTTTTCTCCTCGTAAGTTCCGATTTCACGTAGCTTCAACCCCTTGTCTCTGTTCGTAAGCCTGTCTTCCAATTGGACTCGACGTATTACGTTCTAATTTTTTTCAGCCAATCCCTGTATGGCTTCTTTAACTTCTAGAAATGGAATTTGCCACTGGGCGCTCTCTAACAGTGTTTATGCTGGGTGGTCTACGGCGTAGTTTCGGAATACAGCTTCACGATTTGGGTGCGTTGTAGCTTGCCCTTATTATTTTTTTGGAATCGGGGACAATGCTTATATTGCGGGGAATTTTTCGATACTGTGCAGTTCCTATAATTGAATTCGATCAGAAGCAGACTTTGGATTGGTAGTGGTGGGTGGCTGGGTGTAAACGGGAAGCGTGTTTTCGACGCATATTCAACTTAGGCGGACCGGCGCCAGCCGTGGGGGCAGGCTCCCATGGGACTGGAGGGGGCTGGGTTTATGCATCTGGGCGTCTCCCGGTTCCCCAACATGGCGATTCGCTTGTTACTACGCAAGATTTATGCGTTTTACACATATGAAAGCTTTCTTTAGTTTGATGAGAGTATTCTTGGTCGTAATTACCCCTGCACGACCTCTGGGCCGCCACGATAAATTCTTACCTTTGATTATTTTTTTTATTTATTACAGCCCACTCGTCTATCATTTACCCCAAGACCCTGACAACATAAACAATACTTTTATACACTTGTAAATTAAAACCCTTAATTTCACTATTAGACTATTCGCTACTTCTAAAACATATGTTTATCAAAATACACAATTAGTAAATTTTATATGTACCTAACAAAACAACAAACAATGCAATGGTGCCTTCAGTTTGGGCTATAATGATATCGAAATATAAGAAGAAATCTTGAAAAATGTAGCACTGGATAAAATAATATGTGCCACTCAAGAGTAAAACTATTTTATTCTTTCATGAAAATTAGCCCCCCTCGACCCCAAGTATCGCCCTACGGGTCCAACTTTCTACTTGGGAATAAAATCTTATTTCACTCTTATACCATTCATTTCTAATATCAATGTACTATGCAATAAAAATTATTGTGTTGCCAAGAACAATGAAATAAATTAAGATGTACAGAACTGTAATAAAATACATATTGTAAAGTCAAATTTAATCATATCATCAATCTGACTTGACAGGTAATTAAAAGAAAAAACAGTACTTTATACTATGTAAGTAATATGTGAAAAAGCAACTTAAGTACTGAAGTATCCATTTCCTAATCATCTTCATTGCTTTAATAAAAGTTCTTGAAAATCTACTTTACAATTTGATGGTGGTGAATCTGTCCCCCTTAACTCCTTTGTAAGTTTAATATTTGGAATCATGAATTACAAATTCAAAATCTATTATATGTTGTTGTTTTGTATATTGATGGAATAATTGTCTACCTTTCATTACAATAAATGACAATTAGTCCTGGGCCTTTGTAATTTTTTTCCCAAACCGTGAGGTTCAACATTTCATCCCAATTTTCAATCTTCCAAAGTCCTGATTCTATGGTTTTATCAGTACAATGTGATTTTTTGGTGTACAATTGCCTGTGGCATTGACATTTTAGCCCAGATGCTCCACTGCATTCACTGGATCAGTTAGAAGCAAAGAATTTGTGGGAGTTAGAACGTTTTTTATTAGAAAATGTATGTCTCCATTAAATGATTTTTTTTGTTTTTGTTCTGGATTATCTCTCCAGCAACGTAAGGTACAGTTTAATACTCATGTATTTTGTATCGACAGAAGAATAATTCAGTTTATCAAGACAATGAATTAGGGCAAAAGGTTTCTTACATTTACTCTAATCCTGTATGATTTTTATTAACTTTAGTTTTAATTAATTTACTTGAAATTCTTACATACATTGCAATAATGAAAGATCTTCTATATACATTCGTATTCTGGCCAGGCCAGCTGCCGGCAGACTTGCTTGCGAGACGCAAAGTGACTTCTATCTAGAATGGCCAACTGAAAACAAAGAACAAATCAAATGTACGTTTTGAATCAACAAACAGGTTTGTTGGTTGATATTGGTATCGAGTGAAAACAAATTCTCCAAAAATAAACAATGCATTGAATACCGTCAATAATTGACTGAACTTGTTTACGTTCAATAACACGCGAAATTAATAAAATTATATTGCAGTTAGAGTTAGAGGACGGAAGAATATTGGTATTCCCATCGGTCACCGCGCAGCACCCACAGCGCTAGGCCACAAGACTCTCCAACCCGTAGAGTAGAGATATATTGTATATCTCCTCTATGCTCCAACCCTTTGGTTGCGTCACCAAAGGCCATATTCAAGGGAAGACCAAAGAGTAAATGCTGTAAAGCCAAGAGCGTGGTACATACTGAGAGTCAGCAGATGCCGGAGAGAGCGCCAATTGGACGCTCTTTGGATTTAAAATAATTTCTTATACATTCATATTGCTGGAACATTGAATGATATTAAAAGAAAAATGTATATTTTAAGATATTATAGGATCATTTTCGATTTTCTGCGGATTGTTCAACCGTGCAACCTAAGCACAAGCTACCACTGTCTGGATCTTTCCCTAACGTTGATATTGCCCTACAAATGTTGCTCTCGTTGGTGGTGAAGTTAAGCGGGAACGAAAAGTTCAAAGTATTCATTAGAACCTAGCAACTCTCCATCAAAACGGAACAAAGTTCGAGGCGCGAGTGTAATAACTGTTCCAGCGGTTTGCGGTCCGTTATGATATGTAACTTGCTACCATAAAGGAAATCGTTGAATTTCTTTACTGCGAAGACTATCCCCAATACCACTTTTTCAATTTGGTAATAGTTCCTCTGGCGTTTGTTTAATGTTAAGGAGGCAAACACAACTGATCTTTCCAGCCCTTTTTCGTCTTTCTGCGACAACACTGCTCCCAGTCCGTAGTCTGATGCATCTGCTGCTACCGTTATAATTCTTCCCGGCACAAAATGATTCCGCTTGACCGTGGCTGTGGGCGCATTTTTCCGCTTAGCTACGGCCACTTTGCGTTCATCTGACCAAGTGAATCTAACTCCCTTCTTTCTTGGTTTGTTTAGAGGGGCTGCGATTGAAGAAAAATCTTTAATAAACTTATTATAATAGTTTATTTTACATAGCAAAGCCTGAAGCTGTTTTAAGACGGTAAAGGGAGGCAACTGTGTAATTGCTTCTACGTGTTGAAGGGTAGGAGGTACCTCGGTGCGATCTAACACGCCCCAGGAACACTACTTGTTCTTTGGAAAAATCACATTTGTCTTTATGAACTTTGTATCCATTCTCTTTTAAAACACTAAACAACCTTAAATTTTGTTTATACTCTCCCACACTGCTACCTGTCACAATAATATCGTCTAAATAATTGCAACACCCTTAAAATTTGCTGTAATCTGTTCCAGACAACGCTGGAATAAGGCTGCCGCAGAGTTTATGCCAAACGACAACCTATTGTATCTAAAAACCCCTAGTGGGGCGTTGATCACCAAAATCTCACTTGTTTTCGGGTCTAATGGTAGCTGTAGGTAAGCGTCACGTAAATCAATTTTTGAGAACCGCTACCCCCCCCCTCGACAGCTTGTAAAAATGATTTTCTAGTTTGGATACAGGGTATTGCTCTACTTCCACCTGCTGGTTCATCGTGCTCTTAAAATCCCCGCACAACCTGATCGCTCCACTTGCTTTCTTGATCAAAACTAGAGATGTGACCCACTGGCTTGTTGCTACTGGTGTTATTACTCCATCCGCCTGTAATCTTGCGAGTTCCTCTTTCACTTTCTCTCTGAGAGCTCAAGGGTTTGTACCCCTCTTTAAGCTGAATGCTGTCCTGGAAATTCTTGCATTCGCCCAGACCGGGGGAATTCGTGTTCCAATTCACTGATAATCTGTGCTTCTTCTTGTTCGGAAATTTGGTTCACCATGTCCACGACCCCAAAGCCTAGTTTGTTAAATGAATCTAACTCCAAAATGTTCGTGACGTCATATCTGTGTACTATAATAACCTCTACTGTTGCTTGTCTCTTCTTATAAGCTGCCCGCAGGTTCACTTTGCCTAAAATCTTAATAGGTGTCTTACCAAAACTTGTAAATTTCTTGTGCACCTTCGAGTACCTAGGTGCCCCTGTACGCTGTTATGTTTCTAGATTAATCAACGTGACCATTGCTCCCATATCTAGCAAAAAATCTACGGGTTGCTTCCTTAGCTCTGCCTTCACAATCAGCTTCTTTTGTCTACTTCCGTTAAGCACTTCACTGATCACGTCTATTTCCATGTCTTCCCGTTTTCTGCCCCGTTCTGATTGCCGCCTTTTTTCACACACTTCCTGGAAGTGACCCACTTTCTTGCACCAAAAACACTGTGCTTCTCTAAACCTGCACGAGTCCCTCGCGTGACTTTTCTCACAATTTCGGCATGATTTCTTCCTTTCGTATCTTTTCATTCAAGCACTGTCACTGTTGTAGCTATCGCGTCTCAGTAGTTTTACTCCAGGCTATCACGCCTAAAACCTGTCCTTATCACTATTTCTCCTACTACCACTGCTGTTTCTTCTACTATCACTACTGTAGATCCTTTTGTTCTCCCTACTCAGCCTATTCTCGCGATTTCATCTCGCATTGTAGTTGCTACTTTCACTCGTAGCACTGTTCATACTGATCTTTGTCTTAATACTGTTCTGTGCGGCCCCACTGTTTTTTACTTGACACACGTGTGCTCCCGCCGTGATCTCACGAGCGGTTTCGCAAATTCTTACGTACGTTTTGCACACGTTCTTTACATCTTCTAATGAAGGGTTCCCACTTTGCAATGCCCCTAATCTTGTCCTCGGGTGTGTGTAGTACCACCATGCCCCTCATTAAAGTTTCTGCATAGGACGTTTCACTTTCTGAACTAACCGTGCCGTGCCAACCCTGCTAGCTCTGTTATCCGCTCGCAGTGAGTTTGTCCCACACTCTTCCTGCATTGGAAAAAATTGTATCTCGCTGCAACTTCGTGAGACACTTTGTTAAAATGTTTTACCCTTCTTTCATTTCTGCCGAGTCTTTCTCCGGAAACAACTTTTCTAAAAGGCTAGTCACTTTGCTGCCCACACAGCTAAGAAAAAACGCTTTCTTCGTCTTTGCGTCACCTACCTGGTGGCATAGCAGATGTTCAAACATCTCCACATACTCTGTCCACTTGTCCGTGTCCGGCTGGAAACGGAGGAACTGCGGCGGAGAGCGCCTGTCGACTGCCTCCAATAACAACCAGCCGCTGCGCATGCGCCTTTGCCACATTCAATATGTTTTATCTTGCCAACTTTTAATGGACATTTGGGGCCATTTAGAACATGTTACTTGACAACCCAGGTGCTAGACGTAAACTGTAGGTTTGGTGAACTACGTAATATTTAACTTTTAACAAAAAAATCTTGAAAAGTTCATCAAATATTAGTGGCTCATACAGATTACGATGCTGTTTGTGCAATACGTTCATGTAATGCATGTAAATGACTACTTATTTATTGTGAAAGCTATGTTTTTATAGTGGGTTTTTTGTATTATGTAAAAATGAGGGAAATCTGCGTACATTTGCAGGTGAAAGTCTGATAATGAAAAATGTTTAGACGTTTGAACTGAATTACGAAGATTATGGTTCCTGTAAGCGGCCACGATTGACTTGAAATAACTAGTATCTAACTTTTCTCGCTTCAAAACATAAATCCACTTTGTCCCTCTTTGTTTTGAGAGTTTTATAATTCTATTTTCCTGATTTCTGGGTACAGATGAGAATCTGAAAAAACTTATTCTGTTTCTTCCGCCCCTATTGCCCCATTCGACTACCGCACACAACTAAGTTATCGTGAATATTTTTGTGGAAAAAGAACATCCCACCTGAAGAAAGTGTACTTACACAAAACAAAAACGTTTCTAGACCATTATAAGTGCAGGAAAACCTCCAATAAAGAATGATAGCAACATACTAGAAGATAACGCATATACCCTGTTTTAATTTAATTCATAGCTCGCGGCATACAGCATCTGCCACTTGCCACCCATTTGCGACGGTGCTGCCCTCAGAATCTCTAGAAGTCACGTGTTCTTGTCTGGATAACTCCGCATCGCAGCCGCTTGTGAGAGGGTGTGGTATGGCCTTGAACGGGAGAAACTCAGTGCCACATACGCCACATACTTCGGTGAGTCACATAGAGAGTGCGCCAGAGAGTATATTACGCGAGTGCGCTAGGTAAAGTTTGTGCTGCTTGTTGATGTTTGTTATTACATAGGTTTCTTTCGGGTACGACAGTGCTCTTTCCGTTCCTGGTGTTCCGTGTGTTCCTGTGATTTCTTTCTTCGGATAATAATATGAGCTACCCGGGTTATCCAGGCTACCCTACATACCCCCAGGTGAGCAATGACGTGTGATGGACAATGAGTGATCAACAGATTTATTTAGATGATCTTGAGATGATGAGAAATGATGCAAACTTCTGTTTTGTAAGACGTTACGAATGTTTGCTTGTAATATTTGTTGTCCAAGCTTATGTTAAGGGGTGAACTGTTGATTCTTGGCGTTTGACAATAAGCTATATTAATAATAATATTATTGATTACATCCTGGTGCGTTATTGTCTTTTACTGGTTTTAGCGTAATGTCTGTCACTAATATTAATATTAAATATACTACAATGATATCATGTGTTGTAAACAAAATTAAAGCATTCAAAATATGATTACTAAGAACTATCAAAAGGGTTGCAGCAAAAGGTAATATTTGCATCAGCACTTTTCAAACATGAAGAAGTGTATAAATATATATGTATCCCTATTATTTTAATTTTCATGTTGTATATTTTAAAGAGTTGCCTACTTTCAAGACCAATAGGTAATCCAATTTTCTGAACTGTTTACAAAAAATTTTAAGTTCAAGTTAGTTGGTGGATTTGCCAAATTTCTTTTAGCTGAGAACTCATCGCTGTTTCTTTTTCATTTTAAAGGCTGGCTCTGGGATTCCTCCCTCAAATCCAAACTATGAAACTTCATCCTTGAGTTATCCTTTAAACCCCGGATACCCTGGATCATCACCTTATCCTCCTCAGTCATTTGGAGCGCCACCACAATCATCCCCATATCCTCCATTCTCAAATCAATCAAGTCCATATTCATTTGGATTTAATGCTCCACCAACATCATTTGCACCACCAGTGCCAATGCAGAATTGCCCATACCCCACAACCACAACAAGTCAGCCTCTGCCATACCAAACTTCTGGTGATCCTTCTCAATCTTATCCCGGAATACCTCCATTGGCACAACCTTACCCCTCAGGTCCTAATGTGCAACCTTATCCACAGGTTCCCAATACTTCAGCGTACCCTCCAATGCAGAATTCTTCACCTTATCCTTCAGTGCCTTCCACTACTCCCCAGATGAGTAGCCCATACCCTCAAATGGGGCAGACAAGCGGACAGACAGCTCAAGCGCACCAGAACTTTCAATCTAATCTCTCTTGCTCAGTCATGTCAACTTATAAAAAGGTGAGGAATAGGATGTGTGGCCACACTAGCTTGTGGCATTTTCTTGTTGAATTGATTTATCAGAAATATTTATATCCCTTTTTTATTGAAGAAAAGAAACAAAAACAATAAATCTTTCAGTTTAACTCTATTCATAAATTTTCCCTCAGATACACCACCTTGTAATATTATTTTCTACCTTCATAATTTATTTTTGTTGATATAAAAATTTGAGTTCATTGTTGATCATTTAGGGAACACCGACAGTGCGACCAGCTCCAGATTTTAATCCACGTAATGATGCCGAGATTCTTCGGAAAGCTATGAAAGGCTTTGGTACTGATGAAAAAGCCATTATTAATGTTTTATGTAAACGAACAAATGCTCAGAGATTGGAAATTGGTGTACAATTCAAAACACTATATGGCAAAGTAAGACATAAAAAAATTATGAGTCCTCTAGAATTAAAAACAGTGTTTTTCCTTATCTTGTAAATTTTCTTTTTAGGATCTCATTAAAGACCTGAAGAGTGAATTAAGTGGCAGGTTTGAAGATTTAATTCTTGCTCTTATGACCCCCCTTCCTCAGTTTTATGCTTTGGAAATTCACGAGGCATTGAGTGGCTTGGGAACAGATGAGCAGTGTCTAATTGAAGTGCTTTGCACTTTAAATAATCATGAAATCCGTACAGTGCGTGCAGCATATGAAAGCAGTAAGTATAATTAATTTTATTTCAGCCATGATCATGACAGTAATATGTTTATAAAATTATTATTTCATTGATTTAAAATTATAATATTTGAAATGTTTTATTCCAGTGTATAAGAGATGTCTTGAGGATGATTTGGCCAGTGATACTTCCGGAAATTTCAAGAGGCTTTTGCGGTCTCTGTGCATTGTATGTGAAAGTATTATTTTGTTTGTATGAATTTAAAAAATGTAAAGAACTAAATACCTTTTGTTATTTCCTTAGGTTCTAAATTGTACAAGCACACCTCTTTCCACTCAATTTGTACTAAAAACTTTTCTGTCCCGTTTAAATTTTTCTGTTGCCAATTGGTATTTAATCTACACGTGGGATGGATTCAGTTAATGAATTTTGTTGGGATTAGAAATTTTGCACCACCAATTATGGTGGAATCATCAGTGACAAATTCTACATTATACATTGATGAAGTGAAGTTATTTACATACATTAAGAATGGCACAATATATTTTTACACATTACTTATGGGCTGTCAGTAAATTATGTAACTCAAATTTGGATTATTTTCAATACTCCCCCCTCATAATGCATGCTTGAACCCTGAACCCTTCCCTAAATAATTTGGTATTGCTTGTGATACCCCCCCCCCCCCTGTAAATGTAAGAAGTGAAAATAAATTGTAGCATAATAAAAACAAACTTGTGTTGTATACTAAAATTAATGATAATTAAAGTAGAAATTAGTTGGCGATGCTGGCTGCATGTAACATAAAGATTGGGGGCAATTTGTGAGTGAAGAAAGGACACATGGGTCAGAAAATGTTTGATCACAAGTCATGCACACACCATCAAGGATGACGCATTAACAAGAGTCTATTGCCAATTTAAATGGATTTTAGAATATACTGCATATCAGCTTTCAATATTTAGTCTTTTGTAATTGTACAAATACAATAAAAAAATTGGTTCCAATTATTGTACAATTAATATCTAATAACTTTAATTTATTTGTTTATAAAATAAATTAATTAGTTATTTGAATGTTTTAGTACAGGACTCAAAAAAAGAATTATTTCAGCAAATGTTACATAACACTTAACTAATACCCCCTTACCTCAATGTAATGCTGTCTTAGACCCCCTCCCCCCTTTTCAGCATTACATAATTTATGGACAACCCCTTATGTTCAGTTACATATGATTTCAGACAGTTGTGTATTCTGCCTCTTCATTCCTAAATGTGTTGTTGTTTTTGTGTGTGTGATATGTCAAAGGTAGAGGATACGTCTATACAAATACTTGCTGTGAAGTTGTTTTCAAAATTGGTTAATAATTCATGTATAAATTAAGCTTTAATTTTGATGGTAGATCGGTTCTTCTTGAAAGTAGGTTGTGTTTTGACAAATATATTTTTTCATCCACAAATATACATATTATTTTTAATGTGACTTTTTTCGAATAGTTTTGCTAAGGCTTATTAGTCTATATATTTGCACATTAAATGGTATCTTCCATTTTCAAATTTCTCAATATATCTTGCAAATTCATACGGAATTCAATGTTGACACAGCTAGAACACCAACTAATGAAGTTCATTCTTTTAATTTCCAAATAAAAACACTTCTCTTTCAAATTACTGTTCAAGTTAATTAGTTGCTCTCAATGCATTTACATGCCCAATGCTAACCACAAAGTTCCTCCAATTATCATTCAAAGCATTTTTGGTTCATATAATCAAGTTCCACTCTTCTGATTTTTGAAAAAGAACCCCCTTTATGTTTTGAAATGACAACGGACCATAATAAGTCTGACACAATTATCTGAGTCTCCTGGTTGATTCAGTTCCAGGGGTCTTCAAGTACCTGTCACCCCGTCCTTCGCTCTTCACCTCTCACTCTCATCAAAAAGTCATTTCTTCCCCTTATTTCCAGACTATGATATTTTTTTAATGTATAAATTTCTAGGTTACCATGGTGTTGGTAATATGAAATTGCTTTCTTACTCTTGTATCATTTCCCTTCACCATAACTCAAATACATAATTTTGATATTCTCATAACTAAGACTATTACTGTATGATTGTACTGAAAACATTTTCTGAACATTTTGATCTGTAATTGTGTTTCAACTATAATTGTTTATTCTATTTATTTACGAAACGAAGGTGTTGGCTACTAATACTTCTATTGTTAAATTACAATTTTGACTCAAATTTAAGCATGGACCAAATATGTCATCAAAGCTCAATTGTATATGATCATCTTTGTTTTTATCATTGTTACACACTATAAAATTTTATTTTCATTTTCAGGGCAATAGAGATGAAAGTTATGCTGTCGACCCAGCAGCAGCTGCCCAGGATGCACAAGCATTGTTGAGGGCTGGTGAGCTTTTATGTGTCAATGTAAATTGTGATATGAAATTGTATATATTAATAATGACAAGTCTCTTTAACAAGTTTTCCAAGCCTTTTTTTTTTTTAATTCATAGGTGAGCTTCGTTTCGGAACTGATGAATCCACTTTTAATGCAATTTTGTGTTCCCGGAGCTATCCTCAGTTGATGCAAATTTTCATAGAATATGAGCGCCTCACTGGGCATGATTTCCAAAAAGCTATAAAGAATGAATTCTCAGGTGACATTGAAGAAGGTCTATTGGCAATAGGTATCTGTTCAACATTTTTCAGTAGTAATAAAGTAGTAGTAAGGGATTGAATGTTAAGTTTGTATTTTATGTATTTATCAATTTTCCAGTAAAATCTGTTCGTAATAAGGCTGGATTCTTTGCGGAACGTCTTCATGATAGTATGGCTGGAATGGGAACCAAAGACAGAACTCTTATTCGCATCTGTGCCACTCGCTGTGAAGTTGACATGGCAGATATTAAGGAAGCATTTGGCAGCCTTTATGGAAAAACTCTTGAGAGTTTTATTGCAGTGAGTCATATATATTTTTTCTTTCTGTGTATCTTTTATATTCAGATTTTATAAATATTAATTGTTTTGTAAATGGAAAATTGATTTTGGTTCTGTTTTCCTTAATGGTTTTGGACATTTTATTCCATTACGTGATGCATGATGTTAATTCTTTCTGAATTATTTGCATCTTAATTTTTATTTTATTTTGTTTTACATAATGCTGCCACCCACAATGTTGTGTAATAACCCACCCACATCAAGTGAAGTGCCTGTGATGCTTTCCTGCATTGAGTTCGATAGCAAAGAACTATAGTATTTTCACCTTTGACAAAGGAAACTAACAGGAATAAATGTAACTGTTGTAGTACATTTAACTGTTGTACTTGCATTACAAAAAAAAAGAACAATAATTTCACACAAGGTTGCTTTGATTACATTGAAGTGAGCTTTCAATTTTTTATATCATAATCAGCAATCAAAATTTCTTAAAGTAAAGAAGTGTGTTTGTAAGTTCTAAGTTAGATTTATAACCTTCCTCTAATTTGTTTTCTTTCATAAGAATATTATCTACACCATAAAACCAAGACTGATAATGAAATAAATTTGAAGAATTTCATCCCATTGTTGGTAGTGTTAAGTGTACAATATACTTAAGATTGACATAGATAAGTTTGCTCAGTAAGTCCTTCATTTATATTGTGTAGAAAAATGTCACCTTTCTTATGAACTACCAACCGTCAATAACTATTAAATTAATACAAAAAACCCATTGATATTTCTTGCAATATTTTGGGAGTTCGATTTTTACTTCCATAATCAGGCTGTAACATTAATAAACAAGAAAGTTATAATTACAAAGTTTGGAAGCTCTGTGAAGCTTAAATAAAAACATGTATTTGGGCAATCCTGATTCTGTTCAGTATAAGTTGGAACATCACGTATGAAAAATAATTCTTTTAAACCAAATGGCTACACCACATAACATGTTAATATCAAATTATTGTAGTAAATGTTCGTTCAAAATTATGGTATTCAATTTTTTCCCCCTTTCTTTCTTCTTTTTCTTCTTTCTTTCTTTTCTTTCTTCTTTCTTTCTTTTCTTTCTTCTTTTTCTTCTTTCTTTCTTTCCTTTCTTCTTTCTTTCTTTTCTTTCTTCTTTCTTTCTTTTCTTTCTTCTTTTTCTTCTTTCTTTCTTCTCTTTTTCTTTCTTTCTTCTCTTTCATCTTTCTTTCTTCTCTTTCATCTTTCTTTCTACCCTTTCTTCTTCTTTTTTTCTTTTTCTTCTTTCTTCTTCTATTTCATCTTTCTTCCTCTTCTACTTCTTCTCTCTTCTTCTTCTTCTATTTCTTCTTTCTTCTTCTATTTCTTCTTCTTTCTTTCTCTTCTTCTTTTTCTTCTTTCTTCTTCTTCTTTCTTTTTCTTGTTTCTTCACCTTCTTTTTCTTGTTTCTTCACCTTCTTTCTTCCTTCCTTCCTTTCCTAGTACAGTTGTTTGTGGGTCTTGGCTTTCTCAATTAAATCATTCCATGTTTTCCTATCCTCTACAGTCACTCTCCACTCTTCTTCACCCAACACTTAAATCTTGGCATAAGTCATCACATCCACTGAGATCTTAGTCTTTTTCTTGCATGTGGTGTCACCTATTCCATTATCTTCCTTGAGAGTCAGTTTACCTGCATTCTTTTAATATGACCCAGCCATTTAATTCTTTGAGCATTAATATACTTCATATCCTCCCCTTTTATCAAGTTCTTTATTTCATGGTTAGTTCTTATCATCCAAACGTCGGCAATAACTTGTACTGGCCCATATATTTTACATATTATCTGATTCTCAAATATTCTTAGATGGTTTATGTCCTTGCCGTTTAATGTCCATGTTTCTGCTGCATGTGTAACAAGTGGGTGTATTAACATCTTGTATATTATCATTATTATATATCTCTTGTTAAGAGTTTTGATTTTAGTAGTTTTAGAGTGGCATAATATGCCTTCTGTCCTTTTATTATTTTTTCATGGATTTCAGATTGGATTAATTTTTTTTCATTTAAGATTAATCCTAAATATTTAAAGTTTTCAATGTTTTGGAATTCATATTTATTTATTTATTTGTATTTGTTGAATGTAATGTTCTACAATTTGTAATATTAAGTGAATTAATATGAAGTTAAACAATGCTATGGGATTCTCAAAATATCCCACAGTCTGAAAGTACCTCTCAAATTACGTTCATAAACGGTGGGAAATTCGAAATGGCCAAAAATTTTTAACTCCATATTACAGAAAAAATATTTTCAAAAAATGGGACATGGCATTATTTGATGATTTGTTTTTGATGAACCCACTTCATTATGAAAAAATATTCATAATTGGTGATGGAGTTATAAGATGATGCTGAAATAATTTTGAATTTTTCAAATTTTCAAAAAAACTTTATAATTTTTGTTTTTTTATGTATCCTCATAATCATGAACTGACCAGATATTGGGCTTTACAACCTGTTTCTATTGGTTTATTAGAGTATTCTTTGTAGATTCTTAGTCTTCCAAGTGATCCTGCTGTTGCCACCTCTTCAGTGGTCTGCCTCTTTCTCTTTTTACCTATAAAGTTAACAAATCATTTAAATGATATTATTGGTATGGTATTTAAACACAATATATTTTTTTAGGTAGCAATTATTTCTTAATTATATCTCTGTGTACTTAATAAGTTGATTTTTTTGAGTTTTGTTGTAGACTCCCAAGTGGCCATTAATGTTAGGATTTCCCACATTATTGTTAACATATTAAGAGAGCTGTTCACTTTGCTCTTTATCAATATTTTTCATTCTAATAATTCAACTTTTTTTGTTTTTTTAGGGAGATACTTCAGGTGATTACAAGAAGGCTCTTCTTGCTCTTATTGAAGGGTAGACATCTCAACGGTTTTAAGTTAAAATATGGAAACCTAAATTGAATATCTATTACGATGTACTTAAATGTTTGAAGCTTCTATTGTCTTCCTCCGTTATATTTGATACTAGCTTTCATGGCAAATATATTTTTTATTATCTATATATGGAAAATAATACTGCAGAATTACACGTTACATTTGGGTAACTTTAACCGCATCATCATCAGAATGTTATTGGCAAAGAAGGATGCCAGTAGCAGGATGGTTAAAAAAAGAATATCACGATGCATCACAATGAATCTCAGTTAAATGCAAGTAGATATCTTAAATGCAAGTAGATTTTGTTTTCTTAATGAATATATTTCTTTAGGTAGCAATTATTTCTTAATTATCTGTCTACTTAATAAGTTGACTTTTTTTGAGTTTTGTTGTAGACTCCCAAGTGATCATTAATGTTAGAAGATATATATAAATATATATATAAAATATATATATATATATATATTTGGTTATATTTTGTACAAATCAACATATGAGCTAGTCCTCTTAAGATCACATACTACGTTGACAGCATTAAACTGCAAACCGTTCAAGTTTTCTGAATTGTATGTTGTCAAAAATTTTAATTATGGTTAGTATCAATCTACTTAAAATTATATATACCAGTTACTGGGATAATTTAATGCATTTATTTTTGTACTTACTAAGTAAATAAGAATTTATTGAATAGCTACAGTGCAGTAAAGTCAGTCAATTTTGAAAATCCTTCTCTACATTTCGAAGAAACAAGTTTGTGGAAACAGGCAAGACTTTGTTGCACTGGGAAAACTTTGTTCTCTAAGAAAGATATTTACAATTGTTATTTGTTCAAATTATTTTACAATAACTTTGTACTCAATTCTGACAAATGTATTACAATGTTTCATCATGAATGTAAGTTCCAAGTTGGTTATAAAAGAATCTCATGATATATCATTACAAATCTCAGTTAAACATGGATAGAAGTCTGTATTGTTTTTAGAGTATATATTATAGTAATTTTGTTATAAACCATTTAATTGTTATATTTTTGTACAAGACAACATGTGAACTAGATGTTTATGTTGACAGCGTAAGACTGCAAATAGTTGATGAAGTTTTCTGAATTGTATGTAGGCAAACATTTTAATTATGGTTAGTATTAATCTACTTAAGATTATGGGAAAATTTAATGCATTTATTTTTGTACTTACTGAGTAAATAAGAATGTATTAAATAGTTACAGTGCAGAAAAGTCAGTCATTTAAATTTTTTAAATCTTTGTCTACATGTAAGAGAATGAAAACAAGTATGAGAAATCCTGCAAGACTTTGTTGCACTGGGAAAAATTTGTTCTCTAAAAATGAAGTTAACAATATGTTATGTGTTCAAATTATATTTCACTGTAACTTCATTCTCAATTCTGACAATTTAATTGTGTTTTATCTACTGCTTTGGAAATTACTGATAAACTAACCAATTCTGGAGTTACATGAGAAATATAGGATTTTCCAAACCACAATTGGTATTTACTAGCAGTATTCTCTGTGTGCAAATAATTAATAATTGGTAAATATTGATGTTAATAGAATAAGTTAAGAACTATTAATGGATTTCACAAGAACTCAGAGAATGTCATGTTAATATGGCAAATAGTAAATAGTCAATTTTAAGCTAGTATAAAAATGCTTAAAATTTCCAGGCAAATAGAGTAGCTCAAGCAACGTTGATTTGTTCAGAGTCAATCAGAATAAAAAGTCATAGGAAAAAGGAAAGATCATATTAGTTAATTCTTTAACTCTAGTAAAAGAACACATTTTGATAGTTTTATTGCTTCATGGTAAATACGCAATATAAAATCTTTCCTTTAACTAAATTAAACTTTTCTGGTTGAAATTTAAATGGGAATTATTTGTATGTAGATTTGGACAAATATCTAATTTTTACTTAATCCTAATGTGGTTTCTATTAAGTTCCTGTTTTAATTAAAAATGTAATGTAAGTCCCAAAAAATGTTGCTGAATAATACTAACAATCTTGAAAGCACTATAATCAGTATCTGCACTACACAATGTCGATATCAGCACAGTGATTTGTGCTGATTCTGATGTTACTACTGATCGAAAGTTTATGGCCATTGGCAAGATGCAAGTACACCTAACCCAATTTTATTGCTTTTTAAATGTAGAGAATGCATGAGCCATCTGCAAGTAGATGCACTTTTGTCGTTGGGGGCCTAAGCTCACTGGCGGATCGGGGGGGGGGGGGACTTGGCTCTCCTCCAAATAGCATTGAGTTCTTGTTTACCTTCCTTCATTTGGCAAAGCTGATTTAAATATTTAATTATACTCGAATTGTATAATTATTGAAATAGTAATATTGCATAGTGTCATATGTATAGTCAAAAAAATATAAAAACAAATATCTTTATTATTTAACAAAAATCTACAATGAACCCCCCCACCCAAATCAACGGGTAGATTCACCCCTGCCTAAGCTCTTCAACATAGTCCAAATTTTCATCTTAACCATTTTCAATAATTGATCTTAAAAACAAAGAAAAGTAAAGAACATTGTTGAAAATGAAGTTATACATGTTGAAATAACTTGAAAATATTAAGAAGCTATGCTGTATATCTTATTTTGATTTTGTTATTTTTTGCAAGCCATGGGCGAATTGAGAAAATATTTCAGTGAGAATCAATTTCAGTTCACATTGATTGCATTATTTAATTTTTTTTTAATTGTTAGCTTGCAATAAAAACTATGCTAATATATTATTCATAATGATGAGAATTTTTTCCTGAAAGTCCTTGACTTATATTATAAATTGAATTCAGAACCTTAGAGGGCAAGTAATAACGACACCTGGATGTTAAGTTCTATATTTTAATATAATAATTCTTGAGTGCTTAAGGCCATACCTCCTCAGGTACTGGAATAAAAATCAGTATTCTACAAAGAAAAGATGTATAAAGATCCAACACTATATAACTTCATAGACAGAGCAACTGAATTACAATAATACATATGTGTTATTGTAATTTGTACATATGTAATTACAAAATATAAATTAATATTTTGGTAAATGGAGATTCTACTGCATTTCAATTTAAATACATTAATTTGCATAGTTTGCTTCTGCAACAAACACTCTGGGTGGATAGCTTTTAGCATTTTTCAGCTTTCCTGATAACTTTTTCAATTTCACCTACTTAATAGATATTCACCTATTTGCCAAGTCATCTGCAGCCTGCTAACCAGGCAGTCACCCTCCCATATTTAAAATCTTTATCTTTTGAATGCCTGTAAAAAAACAACTTATTAAAGTTAATTACATTTATCTGTGTAGAGATAATTGTTTACTAAATAATAGTGCCTGCTATTTCAATTTGTAAAATGTACATGTGATTGATGGTGCTCATATTTGTATTTCAAAACTGCAATGTAATGATTGAAAACGTTTCTTAATTTCAAGTTGCATGCAATAACATTTATAGGATTTTATTGCTTTTAAAGAATATCATTAGCATACAATAAATCTGCCTTGCCCACAGACCATTATATATTTTTTCTCTTGATGTGGAAATAAAATACAAGTCTATACAAGTTGTATATCACTTGTGAAGCAATCAAATTTTATTAACATTAATTGAAAATTGACAAATTGTATATTGGAACATTCTAAGAGAATGTTTGGAAGTTTTGTTTGTCAAAGAGGATTTGTATATTATTAGGTGAATCCAGCCTAGTGATTGTGAGGCATGTAACTACAATTTGATGGATATAGTAATTTAGAAAGTGATTAATATAGTAGTATAGGAAGTGATTACAACAGAAGGGCAGATTCATGGGTGGGATTTCAAAAGGAATGCAAAATACATTCATATTTATAATTCAAAATTTTAAACTAATGATAATTTTGTTTAAAAACTGTTAATATTTGGCTCCAATTATTAGGAGTAGCTTTAAAGAAGTAGTAACTGTGTTATCCGAAACCGCTTTTGGAAAGAGGTCTGTAAGTTATAGGTTTTTTTCTTTTTTAAAATTTATTTATTCAAGCCTGGCTGTTGGCCTTCTGCAGCTGCATAAGACAAATAGATTGATATAGGATATTTGCAAGATATCATTTCATACATAATATACAAAATTTTAGGTAGAGATAATAATTTATGAAGCTGTAACTTATTCTCTCTCATTTACTTTATAAAAAGGGGAGAAATTGCTGTCCCACCCCTCTTACACTTGCTGGCTCTGCCCTTATAGCAACTGTGATACACCATAAAAAGGTTGAGAAAGTGATAATTACATTAAGAGAGCCCATTCACCTACCTTTGATTGAAAGAGTAAAATTAAGTGTTGTAAATGTATTATGCAAGTGAAAAAATTGTTATTTACACCTAAATCATGTGTGTTATTAAAAGAAGTTGGTTTAAAAGATATGCACATGTTCTGTAAAATGAATTGCACATAATTATTGGTGGTACAAAAATGAGCGTGCTGAAACGATTAGTTTGACAGGGTAATATTTCCCAAGCGGAATGTTCTTTATAATAATGTACAATATTGTTGCTGATATATAATAACAATATTACGTTTAGAATATTATGTTGGGTTTTAGATGGAAAATTACAATTATGTCTTCGGTCACTTTTTACTGGTAAATGGGATATGTCTTTTAATATTCTTTGTTTCTTCAATTTGTTGTGAAAATGCGTCTGTTATTGCTTTTTGTTTTTTAATACTTTGTTCCTCAGAGTGTTGAATTTTGTCCAACAGCTTTACTTTTTCAAAAGGTATACTTATATTCATTGGTGTGCTATCTTTGCTTCTTGGCTCTTTAATCCATCTCTGGAGTGTCTTCATCTTGTTTATGAAACCGCTCTTAACATTTGAGACAAGTAACCATTTTTAATTCCCAGGGTTAAGTTGATGACAGATAAATTCTTTCAGTTGATGTAAGTACAGCTTGTGCTTCAATTTCATTATTAAAGATATTCAGAAATGAGTAATTTGTGAGAAGTATTTAGTGGTTCCGATTCATTCTGAAATTGAATTGTGGACAGAGAATAATTAGCAGAAGCTTAATTACCCTCATTCCTGAATTGTTTTGGCAAAAGATAAAGTTAACTAATTTTTTCTTCTTCTTCTTAAAGTTTATTTTGTTAATGAACTGTTCCTGCTTTCAATCATGTATTCCTATTTATGTTCATTTTGTTTCCACAAGGGAATAAAAATAGAATTTGAGAACTGTTTGTAGGACAGAATCCAATGCATGAGTGCTGGTGTTAAAATTCAGTGCACTATTGATGATAGGTGAATGTTAGGTTAACTTCAAGCAAATTATTATGGGTAATGAACTTGAATATTATGAAAAGAAGATGTCTGATTAACTTAATGATGTAAATTTTATTATATATTGTGAAGTGCCTTTTTAAAAAATTAAATATAATGAAACCATGGTACAATATAAAGGACTATTTAGCATTTTTAAACATTTTGTGTAATTGTTCTTGTGGTGCTCAGTTAGCTTCTTAGATATTTCTGTGCAGGAAATTGAAATAAAGTCTTAAAGAAATGTTTATTCCTGGTTTCTGTATTTTCCCCTAGTTTACTGCTATAATTGCAATTATTCCTGATTCAGTTTAAGATGCTACATTTTATGTGAAAGATTTCAATGGGTGAAAATCAGAACGCTATAAGTAACATTTTAAATTATGAAAAATCTGTTTATTTAAATCACTGATAAGTTGTAAAGTTGCTTATCACTGGTGCTTTGTTTCATCAATAAAACCACGGCATTTCAATTGTTCATTAAAACCATGAGAATTCATTGCTACTGAAATATAGTGTAAAATAAACACATTTTTCTCAGAATTTATAAAAATCACTTCTACAGTTTTTGTTTTCACCCCTTCATTAGTCATTATTTAATTTCTTTCAAAGGATTCACATCACAAGGACTAAAAATATGAGTAATAAATGCTTACTGCACATTGTGAGGAACAGTATTTTAATGAAATTTAAGTAAAACTTTAATCATGATGACTAGCAAGAAGTTTTTTATGTTCTAAAAATCTTGAAATATGCAATTGAAATTAACAATATTCATTTCCTGTATAAACCTTTCCTCATAAAATTCAGAAGCATTCTTGGAATGAAAAGATACATTTTTCTGCAAAATCCACCTTTCTTCACAGGAGAAATAATTGAAGTGAATATTCTCCACAGGGAAGTGCAGTTTATGCCTTGTTGCATTTTTGTTCCATGTTAAAAAAATATGATATCCTACATTTGCCAAGTATTTTATTATCTGTAGGAAAGAATGAAAAAGAATACAAACTGTCAAGCTCTTTCTAATTAATGAACACCTGAAAATAAAAATAATTTTATGAAAAGATGAGACAGTCTATTTTAACAATATATGCAAAATTTGCGCCTGTAATGCACAAATATGCACCAACAGGAAAAATCGGCTAATTATGCACTAACATTAATTTACATAGTATCCTATTCTAACTAAATGTCAAGAAATTTCTCTTAGCTATGCTCTGAAGCAACAGACAAAAATATTAAAAATCATAGAAATCCACTCTCTAGTGATGACTGAAGGTACAATATGAAAAGGGGGAATTTGTTGTGTCTAGATGCAACGCGTCTCCTAGCTTTTTGAGGGGCGTTGAGCACACAATGGCGTATCTTTCTATTGGTTTATTACTGTATTCTTGGTAGATTCTTAAGCTGGCTTTACACTTGCAAGAAAATGGCGAGCAATATTATTTCGTAAGAAAAGTTGCCAATGTAAACATCACGGCAATAAATATTTCTGATGTTGGCAATATTTCTTGCTAGATATTCCGGTCGTAATGCAAACCCGTGTGTTTCCACCCTCGGAAAGATATTGCCGGCTGTAGCTGGGACTAGAATTGGATTGAAGTCTGAGCAAGATGAAAGAAGCCAATGATGACCACAGTCTCATACGCAGGAAGTACGTACGGTTGTACGCAGACGTAATAGTTCCATTTTAATATGCATTTTTTCGCATGGTGTGTGAAGGTTTACGGCAATAAAAGT